CACCCCTGCCACAGGCCCCACCCCACACTCCCAGGATTCCCAACTCCCTGCGGCTCACACCTGCCTTCCTCTAGTTGAATTGCTGTGCTGTGACCCAGGAAAATTCATGGTTCGCTGCCTGCCCCGAAGAACAAGGGGTAATGAAAATTTTATCAAACTTGTCAGCAAGCCCGTGTGTGTCACGGTTAACTAGTTGTGTAGCTCTGTCGTTGCCATTTATGATGATACCGTGGGACAAGCCAGAACTCTGCCTCTGCCTTCCCTTGCCTCTGCCACACATAGCAAACAAGCAAAGCAAACAAACAAAAAACACAGAAGGAAAGACTGCCTTTGGGATCCTGAAGAGAACATTTTTAGAGAGCACAAAACAGAGGGAGCTACAGCAAGAAAAAGTGTGGCCGATATAAAGGAGAGCTTTCTATCTATAGGCAGGCAAGGGAGACAGCTATTCTGAGTATATTTAAGACCAGAAGAGAGTGAGACCCCCACCTCAGAGCTGGTGACATTTGTCACTTTTTTTTTTAAACCTTACCTGAGGATTTTTTTTATCGATTTGGGAGAGAGAGGACAAGGGAGAGAGAGAAAGAGAAAACCTTGATGTGAGGGAGAAACATCGATCAGTTGCCTCCCTTACACTCCCCAACCAGGCATCTAACCCGCAATCTAGGTATATGCCCTGACCGGGAACCAAACCCGCAACCTTTCTCGTATACAGGATTATGGTCCAACCAACTGAGCCACCCAGCTGGGGCTGTCACTGTTTTGTAAGTTTGGGTTTGTAGGCTGCAGGTCACTGTGCTTGCAGTTTCAGTAACTCCCCTCAAGCACACTGTGGTGGGACCTGCCTGACTCATGTTTGCACGGGCCACCTGGCCATGCTTTCCCAGGCTGGACGTCATTAGGGAGAAGGGATGGCAGCAATGACCTCTACATGACCTGCACGTCCTGGGGGTATTTGTTCTCTTCTCTGACCTTCTCCCTTGCTTGCTCTCTAGGTGACACGGTAGCTCTTGGGGTCACAGCCTGGGCAGAACAGCTTGACTGAGCCATGGACGGAAGCTTGGTATCCAGTTTCCAGCCAGCAAATTTGGAGGTTCACCTGTCTGGACACACGCCCCATGCCAAAGGCAGCATCCCTTTTCCAGGGGCATTTCAGTGAAGCCGCTCAGCGGGTATGGACAGATCTCTATCCGTGTACCTAGCGTTGTGCTGAGCTCTCCTGGGGGACACAACAGAAGGTCAAGATACAATACCTGCCCTCAAGGAAAGTCCAGTCAAGTTGGAGAGTTGATGAAAGACAATTTAGATGATTTAGTTTAAAGCATGTGGTACCAGAATGTGGCTTCTGGTCATATTGGGGGTTTGGGGATGAGACTCCCACAGCTCTTCAGCCACCCCCTGGCCACTGATAAGAGGTCACATTCACCACCCACCACTTCCCTCCCTCACATAAGTCCAGAACCCCAGCAAACTGCTAACATGTTGAAGGGAGATATGTACCCCAATGCCACACTGGCTGTCTATCTTTTGGATGGGACTGGCTTGACTTGGGGAAGGAAAGCAGAGATGAAGCCAGAATTTCCAGCAAAGCTTCTGTAGAGGTGTGGCCTGGTTTGGGCTGTTCACTGGGCAGGAGATGGCACTAAGAGAGGAACCTTAAAATCACTGCCCACCATCCAAGCACCTTGAGTTTTTGTTTGTTTGCTTGTTTGAACAGATGTGGAAACTGAGTCCCAGAGAGGTGAAGTGACTTGCCCAAGGTCTCACAGCTTGGGCCTCCACTGACCTTTAGACCACTGACCTTTTCACTTGGCCTGGCTGTGGGATTCTGACCTGGGCCTTCCATGTTGCTTTTATCTCTAAAATAGGAAGCTTCAAAGAACTGGCTGGACAGTAGCAACATTTTTCTCAGAAGCTCCTATAGCAGGAACTTTTACCAAGGTCACTGTTCTCCTGTCTAAAATGAACCAGAATACTTACACACCACGATGTGGGGCCACTGGATCTCCACTCCGCCCTCAGCTCCAAAAATTCCAAACAGGCCTCACGACAGCCCAGAGATCACTCAGCCCAGTTACAGCTGGGACACTGAGCTGGAAGCCCTACTGCCGACTCTACTGACCCATCTCTTCCAGAATCCTTGGACTGTAACTCTCAGAGGCTCTGGCGCTAAGAGAGGGTCCGGGTGGGGTCCAGGCTGGTCAGTCCTTCACAGGTTCCGCAGGGCTGGATGGAACCTCTGTTGTCCAGGGCCGAGGGTTGGCACAGCCGGGCTCACACTCAGGCCTCAGGGACTGAGACACAGGCTACTTGGGGATCTCATCAGTAAGAGAACTCCAGCCTCAGTGACTGCTGGGGTCAGCTGGGATGGCCAGGACTGCAGAGCGTGGTGAGGCCTTGAGGGGAGGGGTGCCAGTAGAGACCAACCTGGGCAAATGCTGGATTCTGACCCTCAGACGATGGGTTGAGGCTGAGTCTCAGTCCCTGCCTGCTTCTCCCCCTCCCTCCTTGTGCGGTAGAACCAAGACTGTTCACCCCACTCCAGGGTTTGTCTTCTTGTTTTTGCTTTGTTTTGTCTTGGGTAATGGAGTGGACAATGATGCAGCTTCTCATTAGACTGTAAATATCAGAACTGACAACTTTGAGTCCCTGCACATAGTGGGGTCGCAGGGTAGGGTGGTCAAAGAGTAGGTCAAAGGTTCTCATCACCTTCCTCAGGGCTGGGAGTGGATTAAGGGTTAGCAAACTTTCTGGAAAGGGCCAGATGATAAATATTTGAGGCTTTGCAGGCCACATACAGTCTCTTTGGCATATTTTTCTTTGGTGGTGTTTTATTTTATTTTATTTTATTTTATTTTATTTTATTTTATTTTATTTTATTTTATTTTATTTCTTTTGTTTTTAACTTTTAAAAATGTAAAAACTATTCTTAGCTTGAGAGCTATACAGAACCAGCCCCAGAACTGTTTTTAGAAGGCTGCCAACCCCAATGACCCTTTGAAGGCAGGCCATCTCATCTCTGTTGCTTAGGTCTGCTCCCCAGCCTCCTGGCCTGCCTTCTGTCAGTGGGAACCTGAGCTCGAGGTCTTGGTCAGGTTTTGTTTTTCTTCTAATGCTCCTTGAGAGATCGGTGAGTGAATTATTTAGGCTACAAACAAGACAGCTTTAGCAGAGTCAGACACTAAGAGCCTGCCCTCCTGGAGGCCAGGATGTGGGCTTCTCCACTCCCTCCCCACCCTTTGAGACTGTGTCTGGGAGGGAGGGAGAGGGCTCCAGCCCTGTGCCCATCTGCTGTGTCTACAAGCTGCTGGGCTTTGAGCTGGGGGGTGAGCCTGAGAGCGTGGGGATGCCACTGCACACATTCCACCCCCCTGAGCTACCAACCTCCTCCAGCCCCTGCCTCAATCAAAGTCCAAGCTCCCTGACCCCCTCTGACCTCTCATCCCTGATAAAGAGACCTCTTTCCTTTGGCAAAAGCTGAAATTTGCTAATCCACTTTTTAACCCCTCAAAGTCTCCATTTCCTCCTGACCTGTCCAGATATTTATTTGCTGGGCTTTGAGGGGTGTCCTTTACATGGCCAGGAGAGAGACCGCACAGGAGGGTCCGGTGGAGAAGGGAAAACACCCCATCTCCCAACACTAGCCCCCTAGTTTCCAACTAAGTCAATACTTGTGCACATTTTATAACCAATTCAGTGGCGGTTTAGGAATGCAAATTAATTTCCCTGCAGCACAGGCATCCTGGAGTCATCTGTCTTCCTTTCCTCCCCTTAGTGGGATGAGATCCCAGGTTCCCCAAAGTTAGCTTTTGTCCCCACTGCCTCCTTAGGAAGGTTGCCAACTACAGGAGATCATGTGGCTAATTTCTGTCACCTCCTGGCAGTTCCATTAAGGTCTATGGGTGACATCCTAATTAATGGCCCCAGACAGTAGCCTAAAATCACAATCTGAGAGCTAGGAGAGATGTTAGAGATCAGATAACCAACTCCCTCATTAGACAGATGAGGAGGGGAAGGCTCAGAGAGGTTAGGTGATTTGCTCAAAGTCACACAGCAAGCTGGTGGCATGTCCTGCACAGTGATCCAGACAAGCGCTCTTTGCACTACTGCATGTTGCCTCTTTACTCCAGTACAGATGAGGAAGCTGCAGATGAAGCCAGGATTTTAGCAAGGATGCATGTGAGAGTCTCATTCCCAAATCCTCCAACGCTGTGAGTGCAACGGGACAGAACAAAGAAGAATGGGAAGGATTTAGAGATATACACACAGAGGGGAGTAGGGACAGAAAGGAGGGATTGAGATCACTCATTCAGGGCATAAAAACACCAAAGCATAGCACAAATTAATTAGAACAAAACCCATGCTGCATCCAAAACAGTCAATTTTTGTCCTTTCTGGAAGAGATGAAATAGAGCTCCTATCAACTTCTGGAAGACCTGTGAAGCCAGTCTCGAGGGCTTCTGGGTTCCTTAGAGCCTAGTGTGAGGGTCTGCAAACTAAGGCTCATTGTCCAAATCTGGCCCACTGACTTTGTAAATAAAGTTTTATTGGAACGTAACTGTGTTCACCTGCGTATTATTGTCTATGGCTACTTTCTTGCTACAACAGCAGAGCTGAGTCATTGCAAAGAGACCATATGGCCTATAAGGCTTAAAATATTTACTACTGGACCATTTATAGAAAACTTTTGCCAACCCTTGCCCTGATATTTTTATTGACTCTTTCTTGGTACAGACTGGAAAATGATGACTCTATGCTGTATTTTTGGGTTTGGGATTTTATTTTGGAGGCTATGCCTGTGTCCCCTTTAATTCCTTCCAGTGTCATTTGTGAGATCTAACCACCAAAGCAATGAAGACATAAAGATTAAGACAGAGGCCAAGAGAAACACTTGAGACAGATGAATGCTTCCCTAATATGTTGTTACACCCAGATCAGATCAGTTCATATTTTCCAAGTTCATGCAACTTCTACTTTTAAACTTTAAATAACTGCATGCACCCATGTGTAATTGTGTTTGCTCGTACGCTGCTGGTGTTTTTGTGCATCTGTGCATTTCAGTGCGGTATCTCCATGCCCATAAGCAAAACTGACATTAAAAATACATCCCTAGCTCAGTACAGTGACTGACTAGTAAGTCAGACGCCAGCCTGTACATCAGACCAGGGCACGCTGGCTGCACAAAGCCCAGCACATTCCCACCCACCTGCTGTGACTGAGAGGGACTCTAGAACAGGGGAGGGCTCATTTCTCCCTCCCCACAGTGTGAGCAGCTGCTGGTTCGTGACTTTCTTGGGCTTGTGATATGTCACTGTGTGGGTCTGGGTATGCATATGGGTACAGAAGCTACTGGACTTGGATGGCTGTACACATTATATTTGGAATAAGCACGTAGACTGGGCACAAGGAAGACCAGCAATGGCCTTTTGAGCCTTACATGATGTTACAAACTCCCCTTCACTCTGGCTTAGAGGAAGAGGATTCCTACCATTTCCAAAGGCTGGATTGACCTACATGCTAGGTGATTGGCAATAACACCATCATTTCTATTGGTGAATGTCCACCATATATCAAGTACCATGCTAGACTCTATATAGCGACAGTATGTTCAATAGGAGTCGTCCCATCTCAAAACTTGGACAGAGGGGAATTGCAGAAAAGAACTCCAAGAGCTTGACTTGAATTGATTGGAGTGCAGGGTGACAGAGGAACTCAGGCCTGAAAATAATCGGAAGGCGACTGGATATGGTTGTTTTGTGGGCCTGGATAGTGAGTCTTGAGAACTATCTTGGGAGTGAGCTGCACCTGCAGAGCTTAGCAGAGCATAGATGTTGTATGTTTTCCAAAGGCCAGATGTGGACTGCCCAGGAGGGCTGCCTGGAAGGGTGTCCCCCAGGTAGGGAAAGACTGCCAGAAGCCATGAGGCTAAGAGGGCATCCTAAGTGGCCAGTGAAGGAGATATCACCCACATCAAGGGACCTCTAAGTAGGAGAGTCCCAGCAACAGGTCATCTTCCAAATCAGTGACCCATATATAGTGCTATTTCTCCCATAGCTCGGATTCATGAGCAGGAAAATCAAGGGGTTGAAATGGGAATGGCTCCTCTCATCCTTACTCCTAGTGATGCACTAAGAAAAAGTTTGCTTCCCAGACTCACAACTTTGGGCTCTTCTGTTTTAGAAAACTATTTGCCCAGGTTAATTCTGTATATGTAAAATACGTTAATATCGATATCTTTCAGTGACTGTATTAGGTGAGGTGTTTGCTGAAAACAAGGGGAATATGGGGTGAACAAAAGAGAAGAAAGTTAAAAATACTAGCTTTGACCACAAGGCAAGTTAGAGGAATGAACTGCAGTCTGTAGTATTTCTTCCTTACGTTAATATGAATGTATTACTTTACATATTAACCAATTATTTTCTTCCCTTTTCCCACTCTTAAAAGTGACCAGGACTATTAATTACCTGAAAGCAACCAGAAAAATATACAGAAGCTGGTCAAGATTTCACCCTGAACCATAAAAATTAGTCCACATGTTGAGGTCAAAGGTAGAAGCATGATAAAGAATACAAGTGTTTCCTGTGTGAGTCCTACCATGTCATGTTAATTCGGTAAATTGGTTTCACATACCTTGAATCAATCTCCTCAAGGCCCTATGAGTTAAGTATTATTAACAGCAGTTTACAAATGCAGATGCTCAGAGAGGAAAAAATATCTGAGGGCCTTCAAAAGCTGTCTCACTGGTTCAGGACCAGGAAAACGCACAGGGTAAGAAAGAATTGGGGGGCAGACATTTTTAATGTGA